GTTTGGCTCATGACTCATTCTCACAGCAGTTACATGTGAGTATCTTTTGCTACAAAGAGTCACTCCTGATTGTCACGGTACTTACAAGTAAGAGCCAGAAATCCTTGGAAGATTCGCTGACATTCAAAAAATATGCCCAGGAACCTATTAGACACACCAGTGGAGTAAGAAATAGAAGGAAGCCAGCACTCAAGCAGTGAAACTTCTGGATATTTTCCTTTTATGCTGATCAAGATTTTTCTAGCCTTTTGGGGCTGTTTTGGGTTTTGGGAGCAGGGATTTTCTGTGCAGACCAGGCTGGCCTTGAACTCACAGAGTTCCTTTTGTGTTTGCCTCTCCCAGTGCTGGGGCTAAAGGAGTGCATCACCACACTTAGCTCTGCTTTGTAGTTAAACATTTGGACTCTACTCATACCCTCCTTATCTTCTTCCATCTGCTAAGACCCATATGACCCCCCCTGTGCCATGTAAGGTGATATCTGGTGGTAAGCTGCAGAACCATAATGACTGAACACTAGTAAGAGGTGTTTTGTTGTTGCTTTAAAGAACTACTTAAAACTGTAGTGAATGCTATTTACGTTTGTACTTGGGTCACTGTTGATTGTGTCTTTCACAAATATACACAGACCCTGCAGTACATGCTAGCAGCTTTGTGACCAGGGTCTTCCTGCTTTTGATTCTGTGTGTTGGCTTATAGATTAACAACCTAAATAAAAAAGAAGCCCTTACTCTTGTTGCATGGCTTTCATTCACAAATAGGACAAAATGTCATTGAACACTTGTCCCTCAAATGAGTCCTAAGGAAAGGCCTGTGTCACAAGGCAGAATTTCTAGATGTACACAAGCAACAGGAGTGGCCCTGCTGTACATATTCTTAAGATACATTGCCATTGCAATCCGAGGAAGAGATTTTGTAGCAGCCAGCTCTGTTTTTCCTGAGCATCATCATCATGCTTTGAGTTTTGGAACGTTGTAAAATAGTTATGCAAATTGTATTTGTTTTGGTCAGGAGGAAAGTAATTTTAAAGTATACCCCTCATTTTGATCTCTCTTTTAAAAAGAACTTGTTGTGTATGTGCCTGGGTGCTGTCTGATACCCATGGGTAGATTCTTTCCACCTTTACTTGGATTTTGGGATCAAGCCCAGGTTACCATGCTTGCTAAGCACTTCTGACCCATCTTGCTATCTTGTAATTTTGGCCTCTTTGAACTGATTTTGAATTGTTAATCCACTGAACTCTGCTACAGAGTGACACCCACCCGCAGCCCTTGATCCCAAAGCAATGATATAACACAGTAGTAACATAAAATTTAAATTAATGAAAGAAAACTCTGTGACAAATGAAGTCGAAATGTCATTGTTAAGACTCATAACAATCTGATTGTTACCCAAGAGAAATTAAGTAACAACAGAGTGAGAAAAACTGCTCTAAATGCTTTCCCATCTAGCAATCCAGGGTGATGACTAGAGGCATGAATGAGAGGCACCTCTGTTCCTTTCACCTCATAATGGCAGGTCTTGTTGATATTAGCCCTTGGGTAAACCAACATTCTTTCTAGTACTTTTTAAATGCCATGGTTTATTCCAGGCACCTTTTGAGGGTTGTTGTCTTTTAGGGGCCCTCCTCTTTCTCCTCTTCCTCCTCCTTCTCCTCTTCCTCCTCCTGCAAGATTTATTTATTATGTATACAATGTTCTGCCTGCATATATGTCTGCATGCCAGAAGAGGGCACCAGATCTCATTATAGATGGTTGTCAGCCACCATGTGGTTGCTGGGAATTGAACTCAGGCCAGGACTTCTGAAAGAGCAGCCAGTGCTCTTAAGCTCTGAGCCATCTCTCCAGCTGTTTTGGGGTTATTCTTTGCTTTTTTTTTTTTTTTTTTTTTTTTTGGTTTTTCGAGACAGGGTTTCTCTGTGGCTTTGGAGGCTGTCCTGGAACTCGCTTGGTAGTCCAGGCTGGTCTCGAACTTACAGAGATCCGCCTGCCTCTGCCTCCCGAGTGCTGGGATTAAAGGCGTACGCCACCAACGCCCGACTGTTTTGGGGTTATTCTTAAAAAAAATTAATCCAGTTAATTTTTTGTGACATTCAAACATTGCTGTGACTTGGTCTAGAACCTGCTATGTAGACTAGGCTAGCCTCAACTCAAGAGCTCCTCCTGTTTCTGCCTCTTAAGTGTGGTAGGCCAGAGAGATTAAGCAGCTTGCTTATACAAGGACATGGCATCTTAAGTATATAACAGCTACTCTACAACAGACGTGGAGATAAAACCTGATTATTCAAAAGATTCCTTGAGGGGAGGGGCTCAGGCCTTTCCATCTCTGAGGAGCTATTGGCAGTTAATGGTTGCCAGGGGATGTGAGTTATTTTCAGAAGTGGCTACAAGTTAGTTGCCTATGCTCCAGTCAATACCTTTCCACCCACGCTCATGCAAGCCACACTAATTAAACTTAGTGGGTCACCAAAAAATGTAACAAAAAGTCGGGTGGTGGTATCAACACCCAGGAGGCAGAGGCAAGGGGTCTCTGGGGCCAGCCTGGTCTACAGAGAGAGTTCAGAGGACAGCCAAGGCTATCCTGAGAAAGAAACCCTGTTTCAAAAACAGCAGTAACAACAACAAAACAAACAAAAACCCTATAACAGATAGGAACGGAAGACAGTCTTGCTGGGAAGAGGAGTTCATCCAGAGAGGGTTTCCAGGAGGGAGGATACAGTCACCAAGCTGTATTATACACATGTGTGAAATTGTCAAAGAATAATACATTATGAAAAAGTCACACAGAAAAAAAAAGACAGAAACCTTGTACCACCAGGACTATGTGTAAAAAATAGTATGCTCAAGGGAATAGACCCAATCTCCAGACCTGTGGAGAGCCGTGGGACCCCTGTCATTTGTTTCTTGTCCTGTCTTTCTAGCATGTTTCTATTCTCAGGGGCGCCTTTCTCTGTTAGAAACTATTTCTATTACTGTTCATGTGCTTCTTGGCCAGGGGTTTCTTCCAGGACACAAGAACCTGAAAGGCTGAGTGGGTGCCCTCTGTACTTGTCACACATAGAACAGTGGATACTCGCCTTTCTTCTCATTTTTATCATGGAGACAGGAAATAATACTCTCATTTTTTAGAATTTTCTCTCAAAGTTTCTTCCATTATGTTTCAGTGTGTTTGTGTGTGCTTGTTGACACACTTCAGACGTGTGTGCTGGTGTCCCCAGGTCTCCTGATTTAAAGTCCTTCAGTGACTTTCCTGGCATGTCACTGGGGAAGTGGAGGTCTTTCGACTCTTTCTCCAGTGGGCAGATGGCAGCTTGTGTGCCATAATTACGTCTAAAGGCTCAGTGGCACTGGTTGTCCCTGCGGTGTTCTATACCCTTGAGCATCCCTGAAAAGTTGTTTTCATACTTTTAAAATGTTTCTTGTCTTCAGTGTTTGATCTTATGCTTTCTTACTAAAAAGAAAGAAAAATAAAAACAGATGGAATGACTGAAGACCTCCAAGACTTGGTAGCCCTGTGTAGAACATTTCCTTTAAAGGAGGCAAGGGAAGCATGGGCTAATTGCTTTGAAAAATAAAACAAAACCCTTCCCTCTCCTGCGTCTGTCTGCCGGTCCTAAACTGACTTGCAGCTCAGAGACTGGTCTCTGCATGTGTTGCTTGCTTGGAATAAGATGACAAGGAAGGCAAAGAAGAAGGAAACATTCTACTTTCAACTTAGATGCAGCAGTGGGAGGTACAGCTGGGGCTTGAGTTCAGAACGTCAGACATGCTCCTCCGCAAGTCCTCCACTAGTACACTACACTGATCACTAGCCATTTTATTTTCTTAAAAGCATTTCTTTTTCCTTTTTTTGGGGGGGTGGGTCAGGGTGCTCTTTTTTGAGACAAGGTCTTTATTATGCAACTCTGGCTGTCCTGGTACTAGCTCTGTAGACCAGGATGGCCTCAAACTCACAGTGCTCTGCCTCTGCCTCTTGAGTGCTGGAATTAAAGGCGTGCACCACCACTGCCCAGCCAACCCTGTTTGTTTGTTTTTTTTTTAATTTCATTTTACTTTTTAAAAGCCAGGTCTCCCTGTGTAGGCCAGGTGATACTGAAAATCAATGATTCTCCATTTTAGCCTCCATGTAGTGGGATTACAGACATGAACCACCATGCTTGCCTTCCTCTAGCTATTTTATTATATTTAAACTTTAAAAACCAGGGTGTGTGTGTGTGCGTGTGCGCGTGCCTTACAGGATGACAACTGTGGGAATTGGTTCTCTTCTTTCCATGTAGGTCCTGGTGCTGAGCCAGCTCTGTAGCCTTTCCTTTGTTTTTTGTTTTTGTTGTTGTTGTTGTGACTGTTTTTTAGGGGCCTGTTGAGATGACCCAGTAGTTAAGAACACTTGCTGCTCTTCAAGAGGACCCAGGTTCATTTCCCCAGCACAACACTGAGTAGCTCATAACTGCCCGTCACTCCAGCTGCAAATCTTACGCCTTTGGCCCCTTTGGTGACCTTTATTCACATCCACCTGCCCCTCCCCCATACTTAAAATAAGAAAACAAATCACATTTAATTGGTTCTGTTACATTATTGAAATTAAGAAGTAATTGCAGGGACTGGTCAGAGGTTTAAGACCGTTCACTACTCTTGCAAAAGGCCCAAGTTTGGTTTCCAGCACCCAGTCTGAACAGCTTAAAATCACCTGGAACACCAGCTCAAGGCACCCCATGACCTTTTCCAGCACTAGGCATGTGCATGGTGTGCATACACACTGAGACACACAAATACATAAAGTAAGAATCCTTTTTTAAAGAACTAACTATAGATTGGTGGTTTTCCATTTTCTTTTCGAGAGTCTTGCTGGGCTTCATATTCAAGCCGCCTAGCTCTTGGGCTCAACAGATTTTCCTGCTTCAACATCCCAAATATCTTAGGACTCTAAGTGTGTTCCGACCTGGCTGGATTGTTGTGTCTTAGGTAGAAATTAGCTAATGGCTGTTTTCCCACTTTGACTTCCAGGGCCCCGAGGTTATGAATGTGCTTCAGCTCTATGATGCCTCCTGCTATGGCAGACATCCTGGACATCTGGGCAGTGGACTCACAGATCGCTTCCGATGGCGCCATATCTGTGGATTTCCTTCTGCCCACTGGGATTTATATCCAGTTGGAAGTACCCCGGGAAGCTACCATTTCTTATATTAAACAGGTATGTTTATAGTTAGAATGTCTCAAGACTTAGCTTACTTTCTGTGTAACTTAAATATTAAAGAAAATGATATTTGTGTAAATCATGTGATAAAGGCTGAGAGACCGTTACAATGTTTGATGTGTCCTGTTTCTTATATAAACATGTTTATTCTCCCTCCTTTGTTACTGATCCATATGTGATGGCTGTATTAAGAAAGGCTGACACTCGTCGTGGTGATATGATGTAATCTCAGCCCTTGTTTGGGGGAGGGTTTGGGAGATGGAAGCAGGATGGGGTATTCCAGGTTATCCTTGGCTATGTGGTAAGGCCGGGGTCAGCCTGGGCTGGGCTGCCTAGTAGACAGTGCTGTGGAAGGGCAATAAAGTTGAGGGCTTTCTGCTGCAATTCCTAACTTTGGAGCTTGGCACACTTCTTTCTTCTCTGTGGTGTTTTGGTTGTCCCCCAGCACCCTTGTCGTGAGCCTGACCTCCTGCTTCAGCCTCCCACGTGCTGATGCCAGTGCTGAGGGGACAGGCACAGCTCTCCACTCTGCTGCATAAAGTAGCCCAGTGAGTCTCAACCAATTTAAAAAGATTTTGTTTAGTGTGTATGACTGCCTGCTTGTATGTATGTCTGTGTGCCGTGTGTGTAGTGCCCATGGTGGCCAGAAGAGGGAATCAGATCGCTTGAAACTAGTTACAGATAATTGTGAACTAAGAAGTGGGTACTGGGAATCAAACTGGTCCTAGGGGACAATTTCTAGGTGTTAGTTCTGTCCTTCCACCATGTGGGTCTGGGGATCCAACTAAAGTTATCAGGCTTGGTGGTCTGAGCCCTTATTCATCCAACCATCTTTCCTGTCCCAGAGTTGGCTTTTAATAAAGTCTTTGTGTATGGGTTGCTTTAAGACAGTCTCACTATGTAGTCTTTGTTGGACTAGAGCTTGCTATATAGAGTAGGCTGGCTTTGAATGCCACAGAAATTTTGCTTCTGTTTTTCAAGTGCTGGGGTTAAAGGCATGTGCCATCATGCTTGACAAAGATGTTTTCGGGCTTCTTTTTGGTTTTTCCAGACAGGGTTTCTCTGTATGTTGTTGGCTGTCTTGGAACTCACTCTGTAGACCAGGCTGGCGTTGAACTTACAGAGATCTGCCTGCCTCTGCTTCCTGAGTGCTGGGATTAAAGGCCACCACTGCCCAGCCTCTTGTAGACTTTTTGAAGATTAGAATACTGTTGGTTAGTTTTTAACAGTAGTCACAAGCTTAGGGCTTGTAGGGCTCTTTCTTTCTTTTTTAATGGTCACTAATGAATCTAAATAAGATCACCAGATGAATCCTGGGGGAGGCAGGGTACACCTGGCAGGACTACAGTTGATAAGGGAAAGTCTAGATCACAGGGAATGCAGGAAGCTAGCGAATCTTCACTGTAACAGCTAACAGTTTGAGATTCTAGGAAATGTCTGGGGAGAGGTGTGAGGCCCTGCCCAAGGTCATGTACTCTGGATCCTAAAGTCTGGTTCATTGCTAGTCTAAAACAAAACACATAGAACCTTGACCGCAAGCATTGCTAATTGTCCCAAGGCCCTTCTCGGCAGCATCTATCTGTCTGTCTGTCTGTCTGTCTATACATGTATTTATGTGTGTGCATATACCACTGTGCTCTTTGGAGGTCACAGAACAGCTTGCAGAAGTTGGTTCTCTGCTTTCTTTCATCAGGTGGGTTCTGGTGATTGAATCAGAGTTGGCATCAAGAGTCGCTATCCATTGAGCCACCTTGTCTGCTCTCTACAGTACATTTATTATAAGACTCAGCATAAGGGAAATTCACCAGACACTACATCTAAAACAGATGTTTTAAAAACGTCTTAGCTGAGCAGTGGTGGTGCACACCTTTAATCCCAGCACTCGGGAGGCAGAGGCAGGTGGATCTCTGTGAGTTTGAGACCAGCCTGGTCTCCAAGAGCTAATTCTAGAACAGCCTCCAAAGCCCCAGAGAAACCCTGTCTCTGAAAAACCAAACCAAAAAGAAAAAGAAAAATCAGAAATGAAAAAAAAAGTCTCATTAAGTTATATGTCCCAACTTTGACTAAATTGAAAGTTGCATAAGAAAATCAGAAAGGTTGCGAAATGCACTTTAATGATTTATTCATTTTTTTTTGTATCTTATATGCATTGGTGTTTTGCCTGCATGTATATCCGTGAGGGTGTCAGATCCCCTAAAACTGGAGTTACAGATGGTTGTGAGCTGCCATGTGGGTACTGGGACTTGAACCTGGGTCCTCTGGAAGAGCAGCCAGTGCTCATAACCACTGAGCCATCTCTCCAGCCCCCAATACATGAGAATTCTAAAACTGTAAATTCTGAAGTAAAAAGAAAAATATAGAATTTAGCTACTGCATCACTGCTGAGAGTTTCTGTTTGTCCTTTTTGTTTGTTTTGAGTTGGTATCTCTCTGTATTATATAAATAACTCTGGTTGTCCTCAAACTCAAAGAGATCTGCCTGCCTCTATTTCCCAGTACTGGCATTAAAGGCATGCGATCATGCCTGGCTATTTGTTTGATACAGGGCTTCGTGTAGCTCAGGCTGGTCTCTATTTACTATGTAGTTGAGGATGACTTTGAAGTGTTGCTTGTCTGACATTGAGTTAACCATCGATACTCTCCATTATGAAATGCATATGATATTAAGATTTACAATTTAGACGCTTTTAGAGTTTCTTATAGATCAGGCTGGCTTTGAACTTGTGTAGTAGAGAATAACTTTGAATTCCTGATCCTCCTGACTCTGCCTCAGGTGCTGGGATTATAGGCCCATTTCATCATCATACACTGTTCCATTTTTTTTGTTTTTTGTTTTTTCGAGACAGGGTTTCCCTGTGTATCTTTGAGCTTGTCCTGGAACTAACTCTTGTTGACCAGGCTGGTCTCGAACTCACAGAGATCCTCCTGCCTCTGCTTCCCAAGTGCTGGGATTAAAGGTGTGCACCACCACCGCCCAATTTGGGATTGTTTTTTGATTAGAGGTTATTTTTAGGAATGTTAATTATCATTGGTCCTTAATCTCCATGGGCAATTTCTTCGCATATTTTGTGTTCTGTGTTTTATTACATAGGAATACAGAACATATATTCCCTATATAACTAAACATGTTTTATTTTTCTGTTTCATATGTTCAGGAGAATGATCCGAAATACTTATATTTTTGGTTTTGAATTAATGAGCTTGTTAAGTGTATAACAAACAAAGGTAAAAGAACAAATAGCAAGTAGTAAATGGATAGCAAAACATCATCAAATCAGGGCATGCAAGGATCCATCAGGAATCAGCTGAAATTCTGAGGGTTGAGCTTCCTCAGGGATGAGCTTCCCATGGTCGAATTTCTGACTCCTGTGTTCGCTGCAGGCACCTCAAGGGCATCCTGTAGGAATGGTTCATCTTCTAGCTGTTCTCAAGAACAGTGTTTTTCATTCGGGCTGTTTTGTGCTTCTCTTCCATCTTTGACTCTGAGTTAGGTGGTCCTCCCATCCCTGGACAAAGGCTGTGGAAGATACATTTGAGACAAACAAGTTTGGATCTGAAATAGGGAAGGGAACAACCTAGTTCCTACAGCCAACTTCTCAGTGAACTCAAATAGCACACGACAACTTACCAATACAGTGTATACAACGTTTGTTTAAAAAAGAGAGGACTAGGAAAATAAACATGCTTTGCCAGGTATGTTTGTTCGTGTCTGTAATCAGAGACTTGGGAAGATGAAATAGATTACTATTAAGTTTGAGGCCCATCTAGGCTGTG